TGGGTAATTTTTAACTTCTTATTTCTGTACTTGTACACTCAACACTAACTTTTTTTAAAAAGAAGGGTACTAAGTATCTTTAATCACCTGTTGGTCAGAACTTTTCTTTTAAAGGTTCATTTGTATGATACATCCATATGTATATATAATTTTGTTCTTGCCTAGTGAGTTTCAGCATTTTAAAGTTTTCAAAAGCCATTGGAATGTTAAATTAATGTAAAGGGAACAGCTTATCTAGACCAAAGAATGGTATTTTCACACTTTTCTTTGTAACATTGAATGGTTTGAATTCCTTAAATGTCTGTTCTGCTAGACTTTTGATTCTTTATTAGCACAATTACCTATTTTTAAACACTGGCATTTTCCAAAACTTGAGGCAGCTAACTTTTTAAAAATCACATGCAATGCAGTGTGTAGAAGGAAGTCAACAATATGGGAGAGCACTCAGTTGTCTTTGCTTTTTAAAGTAAGACTTGGTGCTAAGAGTTTCAGGAATCTTGTATTGGTGAAATGAAGATGGCTTTTGTACTTCCTGTGGACATGTAGTAATGTCTATATTGGCTCCTTTATAAAACTAACCTGAAAAAAATAAATGCTTTGGAAATGTTCCAATTGCTTTAGAAACAGTAGTGCCTGTCTGGGTACCCTTAGTTTCAAGAATATTTGCCCTTGTTGTTTAAATACCTATCACTGTGGTAGAGCTTGCATCGATTCTTTCCCACAAGTATTAAACTGCCAAGATGTGAATATGCAAAGCCTTTATGAACCTATAATAATGGTACTTCATCTGGGGAGAGTGTAATATTTTGGACCGCTGCTTTTCTTTTCCATTAATGAGGAGAGCAACAGGCCCCTGATTACGGTTCCAAAGTACTAAGATGTTAATTATAACTCAGTAAGTACATGTCTCCTGTTGGGAGGATTTGGTGTAATAGACACCAAACTGCTAGCCTCGTATTACGGAGATGAATATGATGTAACTTGCAGTAGCAGAATAGTTAATGAATGAAATTAGTTCCTATAACATCTTTATTTAAAAGCTTAGCCTGCCTTAAAACTAGAGATCAAACTTTTTCAGCTGCAGAAGCTTCTTAGCCTTTCAAAAAAAAGTTCATACTTTATAAAATTGCACAGTTTATTTTCCGGACCTTTATCCCACATTACTCCCAAATTATAAAGTATTCCTATGTTGCTTTAGTATTTATTACAATTTTTAAAAAAGGTTTGAAATATAGCTGTTCTTCAAGCATAAAATACCCAGCTAGGACCATTACTGCCAGAGAGAAAAATTTTATTGAATGGCCACTTCCCTACCTAAAAGATGTTTCAATCTGAATTTATTTGGCTACACTAAAGAATGCAGTATATTTAGTTTTCCATTTGCATGATGTGTGTTTGTGCTATAGATGATATTTTAAATTGAAAAATTTGTTTTAAATTATTTTTACAGTGAAGACTGTTTTCAGCTTTTTATATTGTACATAGTCTTTTATGTAATCTACTGGCATATGTTTTGTAGACTGTTTAATGACTGGATATCTTCCTCCAACTTTTGAAATACAAAACCAGTGTTTTATACTTGTACACTGTTTTAAAGTCTATTAAAATTGTCATTTGACTTTTTTCTGTTAAATTACATCGTTCAAGGTATAAAATTTCACAGAATAATAAGCAAACACTGATACTGCTGGTTGTAGCAGTTGGCGCTTCACCAAGTTTCAAAACTAATATTTCAGTTCTAGGCCCAGGAACCTTTGTAGGTGAAAAGTGGGGGAGAGGCAAGACAGGGCCTAAGAACTTGACATATGGAAGACTGGACATAGGTTCAGGACTTTGGTATTAGGAAGACAGAATTGTGGAAATACAGTGAACTCAAGAGTGTATATGCTATAAAAGCATAGTGCCTCACAGATAACACAAGTCTTAACACAGGAAGGTGTGGACAAAAAATGACTACAGACCACATCTGGTACGAACTTTCCAAGGCTGACCTGCAAACCTTAGTCCATTCAAGTTCTTGAGTGAAAGTACCATTCAAGAACCCAGGAGCATGTCCCTTAGAAAGTGTTCTGTGATGAATAAAGCCTTGACTGGCAGTTTCCTACTCTCAGGACTCTTGCCTTCCTCACCAGCAAACTTTTGAAGTGATTTTTAAAATAGTACTCTGCCCTGGTATGTCATGTTCTCACTAGAAAAGTTACCTGTAGGGGGTGCCTGGGTAGCTCAGTCTTTAAGTGTCTGCCTTCGGCTCAGGTCATGATCCCAGGGTCCTGGGATGGAGCCCCACACTGGGCTCCCTGCTCCACGGGAAGCCTGCTTCTCCCTCTCCCACTCCCCCTGCTTGTGTTCCCTCTCTCGCTGGCTGTGTCTCTGTCAAAAATAAAATCTTTAAAAAAAAAATCTTAAAAAAATTACCTGTAAAAATCTCCTTACATACCTTAAAAGGTGGTGTTTGGTCAGTTTAGTTAAGCTAAGTACATGTTTTGAAAACGGCTAATTTTTAAGCCTTGTGTTCAGTACTATTCCAAGTTTCCTTGGTTAATGCGGTATATATTTCACTGTAATACCCTAATTAATGATACATGATGGTTTAGTTAGCACTGCTCTTCATGGTATAGAAAATAATGGTGTGCTTTCAATCAGTGGTTTACATCACCCACCTATGAGGCATTATTTGGTAAGTTTTATTTGAAAGCAGTCTCAACTCCTAGACTTGTAACCTAGAAGGGCAGTGTGTGTATGCACACCATAACCTCTCCTCAGAAATGAAATCTAAAGCCTTAAGCTAGGATGTTACCAGAAATAAGGAGAAGTGGTCTAATGACCTCTCCTTCCCACTTTGAGTGCCTCTCAACTGTGACTATTAAATTGCCTGGGAAACTTTTTTTGGGGCGCCTGGGTGGCTCAGTCCTTAAGCGTCTGCCTTTGGTTCAGGTCATGATCCCAGCGTCCTCGGATGGAGCCCCACATCCGCCTCCCTGCTCCACAGGAAGCCTTCCCCCTCTCCCACTCCCCCTGCTTGTGTTTCCTCTCTTGCTGTGTCTGTCAAATTCTTAAAAAAAAAAAAGTATAACCTGGGCATCACTCTTTAGAGAACATTTAATTGGCATGAGGAGGCCTGTGCATAGTATTAAAGGTACCTCCAGGTGATTCAAAAGTATAGCAAGGGTTGAGAAAGGAAAAAATAGGGGAGTTCCCTTCTGCGTGTGACACTCCATTCTGGGGGCTGGCCTCACAGAGAAGGTAGACTTCCATGAAACAAACTTTTCTCAATTTCTCTAGGAGTAGTTCACTAATCAGCAAGCACTGGCAAGAACAGAGGGTATCGGGGCGCCTGGGTGGCTCAGTCCTGAAGCGGCTGCCTTCGGCCTCAGGTCATGATCTCAGGGTCCTGGGATTGAGTCAGGCTCCCTGCTCAGTGGGAAGTCTGCTTCTCCCTCTCCCTCTGCAGCTCCCCCTGCTTGTGCTGTCAAATTAAAATCTTAAAAAAAAAAAAGGAGCTACTGAAACAGGATGAGTAAGGAAACTACCGTAAGGAATATGGATGGCCAAAGTGCAAAAGAGCTAGGGAGCAGGAAAGTGGCTGAGAACAGAACATGTGTCCTTGCTCTCAGCTCGCCATACACTCCTTCAGGGGAAGACTGCCCTATTAACACTTTGAGGACTTTTTGTTAAACTAAATGCAGTAAAAACCAAGTGTAAGAAAGGCTAGGACTTTATTGCAGGTCTCCAGTTTTAAAAAACTGCATTCTGGTTTTGTTGTATGCCATGTGTGTCTTGGTTCTACCACTTCATCAGACAGGAGCTACAAACATAATTGCTCTTACTAGTAGATCTTTATGGAAGCCAAATATTTTCAAGTTTAGTCCACTCCATAATCACAGTCTTTATAATTTAGTGAACTCAGTATTTGCTTATTTTCTACACTCATCTACAAAGCTGATATTTTTCTTGCTTTTTTTTTTTTTTTTTAAATAGGCTCCATACCCAGTGTGGAGCCCAAAGCAGAGCTTGAACTCACGACCCTGAGAACAAGACCTGAGCTGAGATCAAGAGTCGGATGCTTAACTGACTGAGCCACCCAGGTGGCCCTCGTGCTATTTTTTAAAAAGCAAACAGCAATTTGAAAAATCCTCAATGGTATTTTAATTTTCTACCATTAATCTCCCTGCTGTTAATGTTACTTACTGTCTTAACAGCAACAGAGGGAGAAGAGTATAAGACTTACCCAAATTAAGCCTTGTACTGTTGGGCTCCTAGATAAGATGTGCCAGGTCCTTGTTAAAATATTTGTTCAATGAAATCCATCTGTATTAATCCAAAGTGGCTGCTATTTCACAGATCAGTACATAGCATAGAGATCACTAAAGAAAAAAAATCATCTTACACATACACATGTGTTTTCAATGTGATCACTACCCTCAAGAAATGGACACACAGGGAAACAGTACAAAATGAATTTTCAGAGGGAGAGTGCTAATTTGAGCTAAATTATTGTATGTGAGAATACTTATGTTTAAGGGCTTCCCTCTATATAAATAGACACCTATGGTATACCAGTGGAAGTTCTTAAGTTAAATTGAAAAGTATAGGTCCACAATCCCGTCTGCAAAATACTTGGGCTCATTTGCATTTTGGAATTACGAATGTTAACAAATTTTTTAAAGCACCCCACAGGGGTCTTGAGGCAGCATCTAAGATCAAACACACTAAATACATCAAACCTATTAATATCACCACAGTAAAATGTACAAAAAAAATGTACAAATAGTCTCATTTAATACCATAAATAATAGCCTCAACAATTCAAGTTTTGCTGCAAAATGAGATACACAAATTTTTTTCAGAGTTCTGGATTTTGGAATTATAGCTAAGAAAACTGGAGATCTCTGTAAAACAGTTTGTATGGCAATGGTAATACTCAATCCAGAATTTAAAGACCTTTCCTGAGACATTGAGGAATTTTGAATCTTATAGGAGAACCACTGAAAGGCTAAGTATTAAACCAATAAATCTTTATTACTTAAACAATTTTCACGGCTTAAAAAATAAATTTAAAAAATAAATATTTGCATTATAGCAGAAAGTCACATGGGTTGCATCAACTCACTGTTACAGTTAATCACAGGAGATAACTAAGCATCAGCACCATAAAAATTGTTAAGATTTGTTTCTAAAAATTCAAGGAAATAGTTCTAAAGCATTGAAAATTCTGACTAAATACCAACCTGCAGCATCAGTAGTTCTGGAAGCTATAAGCCAGTGGCTGGTTCTCAGTAGCCAGTCTCTATTGCTGGCCGCTGTAGGACACAGTTCTTCTAGTACCAAATATTAAGCTTTCTGATAACCTCCCATTTATCAGTAGCATCTCCAGGTTCACAAAAGGAAAGAACTACAAGTTATTTAAGTAACTCCTATCTGTTAATTTAGATTTGCACAAGGATATTTATTCTAGTAAAAAAGCAAAGATTATGTTTCATCATGCTAATTTTTTGCTTTTACATAATTGTTAATCCTTTTAGCTCAGTTCAATTACAACCATAGAAACTGTACTGGTATCAGAACATAACTATTTTATTACAAAACTTAACATTATTTACAAAATGAAAAAATAATCGAATGACTATTGCAGGCCAAAGATAAAGGTTTTTCACTCAGTGATTGAAAATTAAGCAACATTTCCATGCACTCACACCCAGATTATTTGTGAAATATGCAAACTCTTAAAATTCATGTTAGTAAAACTTTAATGTATTCACAATACTTGTATGTTTATTGGAAGATAGCAAAAAAAAATCCATGGTTCTGTACAATAAGTTTAATATTAACACAGTTTGTTCACTTTCCATTAATATTTTTTGGCTTTCATGAATACTCATAGCATTGAACATTTTGCAAGTAAGAATTATAATAGTACCTCTGTCACCTTGCTGAATTCATCACCACAAGAAAAACACAAATAGTTTAATGCTTTTGCAGTAAACTAACTGATTAGTTATTATTTCCAAAGTTATATTAAACTGAAGCCTTCATTATGATCAATTGCTTGAATCAGTTTAGAGCGCAGAGTTTCTTTATCTTTGTATTTTGGAAGATCCAGAAGATTAAAACAGGTATGGGAAACTGGAAGATATTCCTCGCCACCTCCTGTTGACTGGATGACTAGTTTTAGACTCTTCATACCAAGAATAGGAATGCGATCACTACCTGTCAAAAATACTACCAAGAAAAAAAATCACTCAGCCAACCACTTTTATCAAAACAATATAGATTACCAAGTTATTTATACAGTCACCATGGCAAACCTTTATATTAACATTTACTCTAATGTGGAAGCCTATCTCTAGATTTATGGAAGCCTGATTTTGGAGACATAATAATTACACATCCGTACAATAGTTTTTTCTTTAAAAGTGTAATCTTAATGTTAGCACACAGGAGATGCTTAATAAATGTTTGATGAATCAATGACTCTTGCCCCTGACAAAACACTTGAGAGCCATTCTTTTGGGAATAGCCATTTAGTCTGCAGCTCAAATACAAAATGCAGTTTTGATTATGATTCCTTTTTCAATCTGTTTTGTTTCTAACATTTTTGAATAAAATATATAATGGACAGCTAAAACTCAAATCACTTAAGACTTGTCATCCTTACAATATACAAAAGAATTTAGCCAAAATTTTTATTTCAACTATCAAAGAGATTGAGAGAAATATTCTTGGCAATAGCAGGAATATCAAAGGGAGCATCATTTCCTGACGAATGGATAAAGAAGATGTGGTCTATATATACAATGGAATATTACTCAGCCATCAAAAGAATGAAATCTTGCCATTTGCAAAGACGTGGATGGAGCTGGAGTGTATTATGCTAAGTGAAATAAGTCAGAGAAAGACAAATACTGTATGATCCCACACATACATGGAATTTAAGAAAACAGATGAACATATGGGGAGAAAAGAAAAGAAAGGAGAAAGGGAAACAAGCCATAAGTGAGTCTATGATAGAGAACAAAGTGAGGGTTGGAAGGGAGGTGGGTGGGGGATGTGCCAGATGGGTGAGGGGTATGAAGGAGGGCACTTGTTATGATGAGCACTGGCTGTTGAATTTAAGTGACGAATCAATGAATTCTACGCCAGAGGCCAATACTGCGCTGTACACAAAATTTAAATTAAAAAAAAAACAAAAAACAAACATAAGGACTGTCATTTCAATAGAATACACATTTAACAGATGAAAGACACACAAATTAGGTTATAAATAGGTACAGAGTCCAAAAGTTCTATTTTCTACAGAAATTCCCCGAAGTTTTGATGCAGAAGCCGAAAGAAAAAAAAAAATGGAGACTGAACAAGGAAAAAAGCTATCCTCCAGAAATTTTTAGGAAAAAAAAAAAAATTTATTTTTTTTATTTTTTTTATTTTCCTGACAGAGACACAGCTAGAGGGAACACAAGCAGGGGAAGTGGCAGAGGGAGAAGCAGGCTTCCCACTGAGCAGGGAGCCCAATGCGGGGCTCGATCCCAGGACCCTGGGATCATGACCTGAGCCAAAGGCAGACATTTAATGACTGAGCCACCCAGGCGTCCCCTTTTTTAGAAATTCTAAAAGGAATCACAACCCTAGTTGACTGTAATCAGTGTTAGAATTTGTTTTCATTTGAAAGAACCAATTCTATTTGAGGCAAATTGAATGTAGCTTTCAAAAGAAGGATGCAGATCAAAAATGTACTCTAACTGAAAATTAAAAATAGTACCTTGGAATAATAATAAGGAAAAAACCTTATCCAACAAAGTAATCAATTAATCTCCTACAAAAATAGTTTAATCATTAATTCCATTTCCCATAAAACACAGGACCAGTTAGAAATACTTACACAGAAATTGTTTTTTCTTTTCCAATGGTAATTCATGAAATACTTCCCAAAAAATTTTTATCGTTGGATGTTCTGCCCAATATTCCCCTTTGTATTCTGTATTCTAAAAACAACATAATCTTTCATTAATATTAAGTGATGTTAGTTTTGTCTTGAATCTGACAAATTTTCTGTGGTGGTCAATTTCCACAATGGCCCCTAATGATCCCTGCCTCCTACTGCTCATGCCCTTGTGTAGCCCCTCCCACAGCGTATAGGCTTGACTCTGTAATCATTATGACTTCTGAGACTAAATCATAAACTCTGTGGCTTCAACCTCTTTGATCATTCACTCTGGGGAGAGCCAGGTCCCATTTTAAGGGGACAAAGAGCCTTACGGAGAGGTCCTCATGGTGAGAGAATAGGCTTTTAGCCAACAGTCTTGTGAGTGAACCATCCTGGAAGGGAATCTATCTTTAATTAAGTCTTCAGATGACTAAAGCACCAATCAGTATCTTGACTGCAATCTCATGAGAGAACCCTAAGTTAAAACCACCAGCTTAAGCCATTCCTGAAATCCTAACCCACAGAAAGTGGGAAAATAAATGTTCACTGTTACTTTTAATCTACTAAATTTTGGGGTAATCTGCAGCAATGGAGCTAGTGTACTTCTCCTTTAGAAAACATACTAGCACTAAGAAAAGGTGAGTAGAAAGGAGAGGAGTAAATCTTACACTGTGAAGTGTTCTTTAAAATCTAGCCACAGTTGACCTTCAATTTTAGTTCTTAGAACCTTCCAGCATCAAGGCCTTTGGACACACTGTTCTCTCAGCCTAGACCTCTTAATACATCCTCCTCCTTCCTTTTCTCATCAGGCTAATTTCTATTTATCCTTTAGGACTCAGACTAAATGTCCCCAAATTCATTCATTCATTCATTCAACATATAGAGTTTTAGTCAAAATTTGGAGCCCTGGGGAAACTGCAGTGAACAAAGTCCTTACTTGTAGAGACCACCATCTACTGAGATGCTTTCCCAGATTTGTGTAGCCTAGGTTAAGTTCCTCTTTATATTCACTGAACATCTTCCTTTGTATTCATCAGAGTTAATTTATTTAATGTCTACCTTCCTTACTACAGGGCAAAGACCATGTTTCAATCTTATTTACTGATGTCTCCCCAATCTCCTGCACAGTACTAGGTATCCATAGGGGCTCAGTAAGTATTTGCTAATGGGTTTCTTAAAATTTTTGGCTCTATTTGCAGCCACGATTATCTCAGTGACTGATCTCTTGAAATCTACAAAATACTTGCTATTTATTTGTAAACAGGTTTGGAGAAAATGGCTGAAATTCTAGCAATCAATTAATGGATTAATGGGTAAGAATTATAGTCTGTGAGAATGTTAGTGGGGAATGAAAGGAGAATGGCTCAAGTTTTTTCTTTTTTTTCCCTTTTAAAAACCTCTAAATGGTTCTGGGGAAATGTGTACACAGTCCTGATGAAAGAAAGAGTATTTAAAATCACAAATCATAATCACTGAAATTATAATGAATCACATATAAAATGGAAGAAAACAAAGTATACTAAGTACACTAAAATATACTAAACTACCATCTTACTAAATGAATATTTCTATCAATTATATCTTCAAGTGAGGTTTTAAGTACTTACTGAGTGCTCTTCTAGGCTGTGAGAATATAGCAGTGAACAAAGAGACAAAAATCCTGCCTTCATGGTGCTTACATTTTAGTGGGGGGAAGAAGCAATAGACAGTGACGACAATTAAGTAAAATTTATATTAAGTCAAATTCAAAGAGAAAATAAAGCAGGAAAGGGAGACAGGGTATGAATGTGGGTGTGTGTGTGCATTAACACTCAATTTTAGATGATAGCCAGTAAAGGTCTCTGAGAACGTATAAAGACACAAAAGAAAGTAAGGGCAAGAACCTTTTTGGAATTATCAAGGTAAAAAGAGTCCCAGGCATAGGAAATAGCAAATAGAAAGGCCCCAAGACTGGCTCAGCAAAGAGGCCATTAAGGCTGAAGTAGTGTAAGTGAGAAGAAGAATGATAGGAGGCAAAAGGGACAAATTGTGTAGGATGTAAAGTGTGATGAGAGGCCATTGTATCATTTTCATTTTAGGGTGACTGGAGGTGGAATCCATTTCCACTGGGGTCTCCTTAAGGATAGTGCAGCTTTCCTCTTTAGCAGATCAATTTAACCAAAAAAAGAAATCTTCAATCTCCTTCCTGAAGGATTTAAGCTTGCCTATCAGCTTTCCTCAGTTATTCCTGGTTTCCCAGATTCTGTGGCTTTCCCTAGAGTTGTCTTTTGTTGGGTAAGAGAGAGAACCCGAGGAGTCTAACAATTCCTAAAATTAGCTGTGAAGTAATTCTATTGCTTTTAGCCTAACCATGCATCCTGCCACCACAGTAACATGATGTACCAATTCCTGAGCCTTTTAGAAATTCTAGGGTGTGAAATGGGTTGCCTCTTAAAAACCCTGTCCCTCAGGAGGCTCAGAATTCAGTTTTCTTTGCTCTAGTCACTCATCAACTCATCCCTCCATTTTCTGTCTTCCAAAACTATTTTTTTTCTCTTGTTCATGGTATTTTTATGTTTTCTCTGTGTATTCCTATTTTTATTCCTTTATTGTCATTCTAGTGAGATTTTGGAAAGGAGCAGAGATAAATGTGTTTATTCTAGTGTGTTTAACTAGAAGTCCTAATTATTTTTAAATTAAAACATGTATTCTCTAAATTATTACACAGTAAAATTGGCTTTTTCTGGTGTGTGTATAGTTCTGTGAGTTTTAAGCACATGTAACGACTTGTGTACCTACCACCACAATCAGGATACTAAACACTTCCATCACCCCAAAGAACTCTCTTGTGCTACCCTTTCCCATCACATACTCCCTCCACCCCTAGCCCCAGTTCACCATAGTTTTGTCTTTTCAAAAATGTCCTATACAAGGAATCATACAATATATAATCCTTTGAGACTGGCTTCTTCATGCTCCATAAGGACTCTGAGTCATCCCAGCCGTTGCACGTATCAGGAGTGTATCCCTTTTTATTGCTCAGTAGTATTCTACTGTATGGATATACCCTAGGTTGGTTTATCCATTCACCCACTGAAGCACATCTGGGTTGTTTCCAGTTTTTGACATGTTTGCAGATTTTTAAAAACACAATTAAGAAAGACTGTGGTAAAATACCTCTAACAAAGTTTACCATCTTAACCCTTTTTAAGTGTACAGTTTGGTGGCATTAAGTACATTCACACTGTTATGCAACCGTCACCACCATCCATCTCCAGAACTCTTCCTTTGGCTAAACCAAAACTCCATACCCATTAAACAATAATGCCCCATACCCCCTTGTTTACAGATTTTTGTGTGAACATAACTTAAGACCTTAGAGTGGAACTGCTAGCTCATGTAGTAAGTAAATATTTAACTTTTAAGAAAATGCCAAACTGTTTCCAAAGTGGCCATACCACTGTATTTTCACCAGCAGTGTATCAAAGTTCCCAATCCTTTGTATCCTTGTGAGACTTACTGTATTTTGTAATGTTAGCTAACTTAATAGGTGCTGTTATATATCAAACTTTTATTTGTTTATTTATTTGAGAGAGTAAGGGAGAGAGAGAGAGCACAGGAGCAGGGGCAGAGGGAGAGGGAGTGGGAGAAGCAGACTCCCCTGCTCAGCAGGGAGCCTGACGTGGGGCTCGATTCCAGGACCCTGGGATCATGACCCAAGCCGAAGGCAGATGCCTAACGGACTGAGCCACCCAGGTGCCCCTGTATCAAACTGTTTATGCAAAAATTGTATTAGAGGTTTTTTAGATTACAAAGATGGAAAAACTTATTTGTGTGTGTGTGTTGAAATTTTTTAAATTAACATATAATGTATTATTTGCTTCAGGGGTACAGAACAAAGATGGAAAAACTTGTAAGTCAAACTTGCATACATCTTTCTCAAAGCTGATCTAACCTAGCACTTTTTTTTTTTAAGATTTTATTTATTTATTTGACAGAGAAAGACATAGTGAGAGAGGGAACACAAGCAGAGGGACTGGTAGAGGGAGAAGCAAGCTTCCCGCGGAGCAGGGTGCCCGATGTGGGGCTCAATCCCAGGACCCTTGGATCATGATCTGAGCTGAAGGTAGATGCTTAACGACTGAGCCACCCAGGCGCCCCTAACCTAGCACTTTTTATTCAATGTTTATCTGAAGAAATATCTGAGAATTCTTTGTATAGAGAAGAAGGAAAAGAAAAAAGTAGTTTTATAATTCCCAATCTTCTTCCTAAAAATCCCTTTATTGGCTAAGGCACTAGTGATGAAGATCATGAATATTATTTACTCTGCTAAAAAATTTAACATTGAGAGTAATCAGAAAAAAAGAAACAATGATCTTATGCAATGTGAGTGCTTTTCATAATGGTTTTCCTATGATTGGGCAGAATGAAAACTCAGTTTTCGCTGGGACTTCTATCTGACCTCTGTCATAAATGACATAATTTTTCATACGAAAGCTATCACTACCACAAATAAAAAATGCTATCTAACTTATATACAACTAAAATTCATTCATTGTGGAATAAGAAGGGTACAGTGTTTTCCTGTAAATATAGTGTAAAATGGAAAACAATAAGTGAGAGGGCAATTTTTCCATCAATAAACCATATTTTCCTTTGCCTTTCCATTAAAACAATTTCATAGATTTGTTTTCCCCTACCTTTTCCAGTTCCTTCCAATCATAATTTGTATTTCCAATAACCATTGCTTGTAGTTCATTTGGCTGGAAGAGTTGAAGGACCTTTCCTCCACAGACCTTATGAAAGCCCGCATGAAAAGCATCAAACAAGGAAGCCACTGATTTATTGAATATGTAATCCACATAAGCATCAACAAATTCCTGCCTAGAAATGAAAAGGCACACATGGCACAGAATATAAAAATCTTTTTTTATGGAGAATAGCTATGTAGTCTCATTAAAAGTTTGAGTGCTCCTGTACTTTTTGTTACTTATCTTTAAAACTGAGAAAGCATGACTAGGATTCTAAGGGGATAAAGTCTTTAATGGAGAAGTTTATTATTCTTTCTATACAAAAATCTGGTATTACCTAGGAGGCATGTAGACTTATCATTCACAGCCTAATGTAAATGAGGCTATTCCGAAGTGAAACGTTATTTCCTAATGGGAAGAATGATGACACAAATGTCTATCAAAATAATTTTTCAATACTCACAAACTATTGAGATTTATATGCACCACTCCACATGTATCCCTAAAGAGAGTCATCTGTTAAAAATATCAGGTGATAAAAAAATGAGAGCTTTGGGATTCAGACTATTAGACAAACAACAGTCTGTTTTTCCTCGGGTTTCAAGGAATCTGAAAACAAAATTTATTTTTTTATTTTTTTTAAGTAGGCTCTATGCCTAACGTGGGACTTGAACTCATGACTCTAAGATTAAGAGTCACATGCTCTACTGACTAAGCAAGCCAGGTGTCCCAACAAAATTTATTTTAAAAACTAAATACCCGAAAGGTTTATTAAGCACTCTTTTAGGATAATCATTAAAGATTACAAGTAGTTTTCTTTTCAAAAGTATGTGTGTATACACAGAGGTACCCATACACACACAAACACTTCTGATGCTTTTTCCTGCCTGTTATCATTATGATAGTAAAGGAAACTATAAAAGAAAAAAGTCCCTTTACCCAGTAATCCAGTAATTAGCACTACAGTTTTATTCAATTTATTCTGTTAGCCATAAATATTTTATGCAGCTATCTAAGTCAAACAAATAATGAGAATGGGTACCAGAGGATTTCAATATTTTATATTCCTGTCTTAAAGGGTAATTCTACAAATGGGAATATTGGTAAATTCAGTTATCTACAGATAATCTTCTTAGCAAATTATAAAATAATTCCAAAGTGAATTTACAAAGAGGAAAAAAAGGTTACAGGAGGCCATTGTAAAACTGGAGAGGCCTAAGGAAAAGTCAGTAGCATATGCTATTAGACTCTGATGGAAAGAAGCAGATAATTTTGTAACGGCATAATTTTATAATTCATCTAATTGGAAAGTGAAATTTATCTGTACTAGTTAAGTGCCTTAAACACAAAAGGCTAAATTATTTTATGTGCTAACATTTTTATCTTCAACATTTTCATTATCTAACTAGGATTGGTAATACAAAGATAAAAATTCTTCAAATTATTTCTAAACTAGATAAAAAACTAGAGACTTTAAAAGCAGGAAAAAAACCTTTCTAAATCAGTTTTTCAAAACCAAGATTTTTTTTTAAAAGAAAGGATAGTTAGAAAGACCTAAACTTTTTCACATTATTTTAAAAACAGCTATCAAAGTAAGACATATGTACAGTTTAAAATGTCAAATAGTAATACTAACAGCCAACATTTACTGAGCACGTAACATGTGCTAGGTACTATTCTAAGCATCTTAGAATTATTGCCTCATTTAATCCTCAAGATAGCCCCATGAAACAGGTACAATTTATCATCCCATTTTACAGAAAAGGAGACTGAGGCATGAGACATTCCTACAGTTACACAGCTTCTAAGTAGCAGAACTAAGATTATAACCATTTGGATAAAGTCCCTGGCGAGAGCCAATAAGCTAGCTCTACACAGTAGAGAACGAAGCAGTTCTGTCTTGCACCTTTAGAAATTTCAGATATTTGAAGGCAAATTCTTAACTTTTTGCTATTCCCTCTGATATTTACCTTCAAACTTCAACAACCTAATTATATTGTTATTCCTTAATTTTCAATTTAAAATATAATCTAATGAACTGATTATCTATTGTGGAAGATGAGGATTTACCTTTTATTTAGTTGCCCCATTCTCACTTTGTCTCCCCAAAAGCTCCCATAATAACAATTTTGGTTCACTATTCACTAAAGTTAACATATTTGTGATTATAAACATTCAGAATTAAGCTAGACTATTTTATGGTTACCTGCCTTTTCTTAAAAAGAACTTCTGCAGTCAATTGTTTCTCTAATTTGCTACTTGATCCCTAACTTCAACAGAAATGTCAATCTCCTTTAGACTCATTCAACTCTAGGGAGCATCATTTGTATTCCATCCTCTTGATTTCACCCACTTTGGTTGCTCTTCCTAAACCTACACACTGCTGTTCCTGCAGAAGGAATTCTCTTTGCCTCTCTTCTATACTGGATCCTATTTTTCTGGATCCTGTGTCTTTCTCTTTCTTGGTTTAATTCCTTGTCTGGTAGAACACATCTTCCTGTAACTTCCTGAGAAAACTGCACTGGAAGTAGATTTCTCTGAGACTCTGGATGCATGAAGATGTTTTTATATACACTCACATACTTGATAGTTTTGATACAGAATTCGAAGTTAAAAAGTATTTTTTTTCCCACAATTTTGATCTCCTAGCTTCAGTGTCATTCTTTAGAAATTTGATGTTATTCTGTTTCTTAATTCTTTGTATATAGCATGCTTTTTTTTTTTCTTTTTCCTGGAAGGTTTTAGGATCCTTTTTTTCCCCTGGGATTTTGAAATTCTATTTTGCCTTGGTAGGTCTTTTTTTTTTTCCTCCCACTTTCCATGCTTTCAATTTTAAGGCATGTCTTTTAAGGCATGTCATTCAATTCTGGAAAGCTTTTTGGTACCATTTCTTTGACAAATTTCTTTAAGTGAATATTTTTCAATTTTTGATTGAATTTTTTTTTTAAAGATTTTATTTATTTATTTGACAGAGAGACACAGTGAAGAGAGGGAACACAAACAGGGGGAGAGGGAGAGGGAGAAGCAGGCCTCCCGCGGAGCAAGGAGTCTGATGCGGGGCTCTATCCCAGGACCCTGGGATCATGACCTGAGCCAAAGGCAGACGCTTACTGACTGAGCCACCCAGGCGCCCCTGAATTTTTGATTTTTAAGTGAATAATTTTTAATCCATATAGATGAATACTGATTACAGTTTCTTTTGAAGTTTTGTTCTTCATCCTGCATTGTTTCGCTTTCCTTGACATTCTTTTCAACTGTTCTGAAGGGCTATTAATCTTTGGCTATCCACTCTTTTTTTGGGGGTACCAAATTATTTGAAGAATGGTACAAATGAAAGAAGTTAAGTAGATGTTTTGGTACAACTTATAGAAAAGGTAAAGGTAACCCCAACATGCATGCACTGCCTTGGTGACCAGGGAAGTCACGCTTGTGGCTATGGGAAGACAGCCTAAGGCTTAGCTTTCACTATCACTGTTTCCCAAGGTGTGCTTGTCAAAGAGATACTTTGCCATGCCAGATTCGGGAGCCCCCATCTTGCGCAGGTTGGTTACGTGGTCACCCAATTCTTTGATGGATTTCACATGCTCATTCATGTAATAAGTCTCAATGAAGTCACACAAATGGGGGTCACTTTTATCAGTGGCCAGTTTGTGCAGTTCCAGTAGTGACTGATTCACGCTCTTTTCCAAATGTAATGCACACTCCATTGCATTCAGCCCGTTCTCCCAATCATCACGGTCTGGTTTCTTGATATCCTGAAGGAAGATTCGACCACCTCGTTGGTTCTGCAGCTTCATCAGTTTCTCCGCATGTTCCCTCTTCTCATGAGACTGGTGAAGAAAATATTCGGCAAAGTTCTTCAAAGCCACATCATCGCGGTCAAAGTAGTAAGACATGGACATGTAGACGTAGGAAGTGTAGGGCTCCAGGTTGATCTGGCGGTTGATGGCGGCCTCCGAGTCCTGGTGGTAGTTCTGGCGCACCCGCGAGGGGGACGCGGTCGTCATGGCGGCGGCTGAGAAAAGGCGGCGGCGAGGGCCTTGGAGCGGTCTGAGGGCGCGACGAAGAGATGGCGAACGGCTGGCTCTGAACGGCCGGCCCGGGTGGGGGACGAGCGCCGGGTTCCGTCCAAGCACTGTCGAAGCAGGAAACCGCGGCGACTCTCGGCGGAGACTGTGGCCTATCCACTCATATTTAAAAATGAGACAGTGTATCCAAAGAATCCTCCAAAATACAGTACCAAGGCGGGGTGGTTGTAGACTCAATCCACTTGTTTTCAGTTCTGCCACTTACCCCCTGCTGTGTCCATCCCTACTCGAATCCAAAGTCGTCTTCCCTCCCACCCCTAGGATATCCAAAGTCCCTTTAGTTCAATCTCCCCAGAAGATAAATTGCTGATCATCTGCCCAGGCTACTGTGCTAATTAAAATGGGTTTCTAACTGCTTTTTATAACAGCAATCTTTCTGTTTCCAGCATTCCCCTAAACCCCATACACTTTCTAACATTTTTTATTCTCAATGCCTAAGACTTTATATTGATGAACTGGCTGCCAGGATTCTTGGCTCCTCCCAGTCCATCTTATATTGCAGCTTTCTCTGGTTGGCTAAAGTTAGTTACCCCTGTTTTCTAGCTTCCAAAAATGAGTTTGCGGTTGTCCCCTCTCCCTTCTCTTTGTTTTGCTTGGTTATGATCTTTTTATCCCAAACTTTAGTAATATCTTAAAGGGATTTCAGAAGCAAAAGGTGGTTACTTTCTTACTAACCATTCAAAAAGTTTTATCTGAGTAAAAACTTAAGGTTGTGACAAGCTTCTATATACAGAAGAAAAATGCCTACGGAATCTTATTACTACCACTGATGCTGCTATAATTCACTTACCGATTTTGTTTGTTAACAGCTGTGTCTGCACCATTTAGAACCAGCTCTTTCACTTCTGTTGCACCAAAGTTTTCAACTGTGATCTATTAATTTAAATTTTTAAAAAAAGTCAATGTCAGACTCAAAACTTATTAGATTTTAATAATCTATTATTATATTCTACCTTTCTCTCATTAAATATAAGAATAAAGTTGAGGTAAAATTCTGTTACTACCATAAGCTTATTTGTCAATTCTGCATAACGCCACAACTAGAAATTTTCATTTCTACCGTGAGGTAGTTATGAAATCCTACCGTGACTAGTTAATTACAAATTACAAAGTGTTTGGTTAGTTAAGAACAGGAAACTGAGTACTTTACTATGTGTAAAACTTTTTTAGAACAATCACTACAAAAGTAAAATATTAGAAAGGATGTTTTCCTTGTACACATGACAGAATCTAAGTGTCAAAATGTATGCAGCCCAGACCAGCTATGCATTCTCCTCACATGACAGCTACTACTACTGTATTCCTAGTATCTGCCTTGTTTGCATTCTTGATCACAGGTGATTTTTCCAGTATGCTATTAATTGGATTTATAAAGACAGTCAATTATTTTTAAACTTTTTATTTTCCTTACTAGTCTGCTAATTTTCCTATTAATATTACCAATCCCACATCTGTATCTTTTCTCTTTCTAGTCCCTCTTTTTGGAATATTATCCTCTTCTATTAGAACATTTTCTTTTAGTACCTGCCACCATCTAGAAAACACTGTGGTGGCAGTGGGATGATAAGAGATGAATAAATCCCTGCTGTGGAGTTTACTATCTAGTTGAAGACAAGAAATGTGTTATGTAAACAACTTCTTATAATAAAATAAATGCTATAATAGAGACATGAACAAAACGCTATCAGACCACAGAAGAACACTTACTTCTACGTGGAGGAAATATGAAAGACCTCAAGGAAGAAATGTCATTTGGAAAGCACCTAGAAGGATGAGTAGGCTCTCAAAAGACTGAGAGGGGACAGGATTTCTGACTGAGCACAGAGACTGGATAGGATAGGATGGATATGAGAGTAAATATCAAGTTCTGAAAATGTATGGCCCTAAAACACAGGAAGATAAGGTATGTGAGAGAATACTGTGTGACATGATAAAACTTGATATGAATGGAGGGATACAATTTAAGTTAGAAAGTCATATTACAAATGTTTTTGAAGCCCGTTATCGATCTAATGCTATGCAAGCAATAAAGAGCCACTAAAAATTTCTGTGAAAGAAATGGCAGTGAGAAGGAATGTTTAAATTACCATACTTCTTGAATATACTAACCATTCACAAACTTGGTGATTGATAAGTTAGAAATTATATTGTTTGGAACCCAATGTTTCAGTCCATTGAGATAATCAATAAAGATTCAAAGATAATTGATACTGCTATAAGGGAAACTGAATTGAAGAATTAAACCATTGCAAAACCAACCATTCAGTTGAAATGGGGAACTAAAAATTTCATAGTAAATAAAGTCCAAGGAGGACCTTTCTTGAAAAAAAAATTGTTAAAATAAGTTCATTTATTTCATCTTAAATCTACCAAATTTTCTTACAATTGTACTATGTGCCAATTCTTAAAATGATAAAAAAATGGATAAACTTTTTTGAGGGGGGCACACAGTATTTTTTGGCAAATTGTGGGATAGCAGAATATGGTTATCTGTCAGATTTGACCTCAAGATCATAAAGAGGACTCTTGGCGGGGGCAGGGGGGGGGATGGACAAACACACAATGTATTTAAAATGAAAAGAAAAAGAAAGAAAACCAAAGGTTTTACCATTTTCCCAAGAGATTAATTTATAATATTCAAATCATTCCATTCTGAAGTGCCTTCTCATAATCCTTGCTGATTTTCTCTTCTTTGTCAACTGTCTACTTCTGCCAGATCCTTGTTTGTCAATGGCTTTGCATTTGGATGGGTAAGTTATTCAACATCCCTTTCACTGAATTAACAAAATTGTGTATCTTTGACAAGATTTGCAATTTCATTTTCCAAATAACATTCCAACATATTTGCATTTTCACTGTGGTATGTCATTTCCAAAGTAAGATAAATGGGCAAGGACAAATATTAGTGTGAAGCAGAAAGGGATGTCTGAGTAGGAATTAATCTTTTAAGTGGTAAGTTCATTACTGAATATTCTAATGTACAATAACCTTTGCTTCTCTAAACATTCTTGTAATTGCAGACTCAAAAATGAATACTTGAATAAAGAGGTCCTCTTGTATTTGTAAAGGATCTTTAGCATAATGATAAAGCACTAGGCTCTGAAGTCACAGGCCTGGGTATAAATACTATTATTGACATGTAATGATTGTTTTCAGTTTTCTTCATCTGTAAAATAAGGATAGTAATACTAATCTCATAGGACTGTTATGAGGATTAAATGAAATAATGTACATACTGTGACTAGCATATAGTTAATGCTCAATAAATGTTAGCTAAAGGGTTAAAAATTCCACCCATCAAAATAAAAAAAAAAAAAAAAACCCAAAGCCATAAGGCACAGCTGTTAAATAAATGGGATGAGGAATAATCAGGCTATTCTGTCTTATTCTGTCTTTCCATCTTACCGTAAAATTAAGACAAAATGTTTCCTCAACATCATCTTCTGGATAATCCAGTAACTGTTGCATGCTTCTGCAAAACAATACACGTTTCTTTGAGGTAAAACATTATTGGGTATTTTGACTATTTTGGTTATGAATAAATATATATTTCTCATTCTTGATAAAATCTTTTTATTAATCTATACTTTTATATTTGTTTCAGAATGGTAGATATACAGTGGCTAGCGAATGAACAATTCTGAAGAAAAAAAAAATCACTCTAAGGTTTTTATCTCTTCTTCTGAATACAAAGGCCATATATCTACCCATTTTCAACATTTGTTCTTACTTATATACAATTTCTATTCCATTTTATGTAATAAATAAAAAGAAACTTTACATATTCCAGCTAGGAATGAAGGTAATCAGAAGTCCAAATAAATCATTTAACTACTCTCAGGAAGCATTACCTTCCTAAGTTTATTATCTGATATTTGCAAAATATTGTTAAATTACTAAAAACTTAGCAAATGGTTTTGTACATGTAAGTCTTTCAGTAGAAATTTGGAATCTGGGTAACATGAAGAGTTCTCCAATATCAGAAGGGCTTTTGTTTATTTTAGAAATTCAACAAGAACAAAATAGAATTATTCCTGAAAGGAAAGCTTTCTGTACATTTCCCATTCCCTATTAAAACCCTCGTCACTTTTTGTTACTAACCTTCCAACATCAGGTACTAGTTCCTTCAAATCATCCAAGGATGGCTTCTTTTTTAGCAGTTTTTTATACAAAGCCAAAGGAAAATGGAGGTCCACAATAGTAAAATTATAAATTGCTAATCCACAGATAACACCAATCAAATGGAATAAATCACTGTCTTCAAATGTCTAAAATAACAGAAAAAAAAGTAAAGACATCTTCTACAAGTTTTAAAATAATAAATTTTTCTGATGACAAAAACACATACTTGTAGTAAAAAATTTTGAAGATATAGAAATAAGTAATGAAAAAGCTCATTCTCTCTTTTTTTTTTAAGATTTTATTTATTTGACAGAGAGAGACACAGCGAGAGAGGGAACACAAGCAGGGGGAGTGGGAGAGGGAGAAGCAGGCTTCTCGCCGAGCAGGGAGCCCGATGTGGGACTCGATCCCAGGACCCTGGGATCATGACCTGAGCTGAAGGCAGACACTTAACAACTGAGCCACCCAGGTGCCTTGAAAAAGCTCATTCTTAATCACATCTCCCTGGGATAGTATCACTATTAGTATTTCTGCACATTTCCATCCAATATATTTTCTAAAACAAAATAAAGACCTAGCTAAGATCAGACTAGATGTATAACTTCACAACTGGCTTTTTTCCCAGGAAATATAAGCATTTCCACATCACTAAGCATTAAAATTGTTAATACGTGAAATGACTATTAGAACATTTAATCTGATTTAAAATAATTGTACACATTCAAAATTTGGAAAACAAAAAGCATAAAGAAAATGAATCAATGCCTGTAATCCAATCACTCAGAAACAAGGATTTAAAAAATATTTTTATATATTTGCAACCACTATAAGTTCAAAAAAATAATTTAAAAACATAGTTAAGGTTTTCTCTTTTGTCTAATCACAAGTATTTTCTTATATCATTAAATATTCTTCTAGAACATTTTTATTTATGTAATTTTATTTTCTTATTTTTTAAAGTAGGCTCCACAGCCAGCATGGAGCCCAATGTGAGGCTTGAACTCATGACCCTGAGATCAAGACCTGAGTAAGAACTCGAGTCACCCAGCAGCCTCAGAGAACATGATTTTTAATAGTTGCATATCACTCTTATAAAAGTACAAAGGTGTGCTAAATTAGCTATTTTACATTGGACATTTAGATTATTAAATCACTGAAAACAATGCTTATTTCCCCGTCTTTAAAGAAGCAATATATGGTCACAGAAAATTCAGTGAGCATGACAGTTAAAAGAAAAACATTTTTTATCAGATTTGGGGCTCCAGACCTAGTTCTTTCAGTATCTAGCCTCTGTATTTTCAAAGATAAAAACAGTATTTATCTCATAAGGTTGTTCTGAGGATGAAATGGGATTAATGTATGTAAAATACTTTTAGCCCAGTTCCTGCAGCACATGGTAAAGGCACAATAAATTTTGGTTATTCCAACTAGCTAGTAATATTCAAAATAAGTAAGACGGTATCATTTCTGCATATATATATATATATATATATATATATATTTTAAGATTTTTTTAGAGAGAGTGAGCGTGCACAAGTGGGTGCATGTGTGAGCAGGGTGGGGGGAGGGGCAGAGGGAGAGGGAGAGAATCACAAGCAGACTCAGCACTGAGCACGGACCCCCAAGTGGGGCTGGATCTCACAATCCTGAGATCATGACCTGAGCCATAACCAAGAGTCGGATGCTTAACTAACTAAGCCACCCAGGCGCCCCATCATTTCTACATATATTTTTGTCCATAGTTTGGAATATTTGCTTAGGAGAAATTTTGCTTTGTAAGAAGAATTTCGAAGTCAAATGACAGTTAAGCATATCCCGAAACTGCTTTTGTTCACACCTATTCCAATTTACCCTGACATCTGCAATCTAGGAAAATGTCTATCTTTCCATATTTTCATCTGTAATATACACAAACACACATTTCTATCTGAGTTAAAAAATGAAAACTTGGGGCACCTGGGTGGCTCAGTCAGTTAAGCATCTGACTCTTGATTTCAGTTCAGGTCATGATCTCAGGGTCGTGATACTGAGCCCCGCACCGGGCTCCATGCTGGGTGGGGAGCCTGCTTAAGATTCTCTCTCTCCTCCCCTCCATCCCTCTCCCCCCGCAAATAAGACAAGAAAACTTGTTTTAGTATGTATTTTTGTCTATTAGTGATACTGAAAATTAGGGATTTGTGTGTATTTGTGAAATGCCTCTTTGTATTCTTGGCCCATTTACCTTTCAGGGGCCAGTGTTTTCTTTCTTTGGTGCAAAAAGATGATTTTATTAAAGCATGGGGACAGGACCCGTGGGCAGAGAGAGCTGCTGCTGCTAGTGTTTGCTTATATATTTATATTTGAATTCTTCATATACCAGGAATTAATATTATCCTATGTCATATTTGTTACATATATCCGAGTCTACTATATGCTTTTTAATAATCTTGCTTTTGTCATGCATAAATGTCACATTTTTTCCCAGTGGTCAAAATTTTTTTAAATTTTTTTAAATTTTTATTTATTTGACAGAGAGAGACACACGAGAGAGGGAACACAAGCAGGGGGAGCGGGAGAGGGCGAAGCAGTCTTCCCACGGAGCAGGGAGCCCAATGCGGGGATCCATCCCAGGACCCTGGGATCATGACCTGAGCCGAAGGCAGACACTTAACGACTGAGCCACCCAGGCACCCCAATCCATTTGTTTTAATATATCACCTGCTTGAGAATCCAGAGCCACTTTGGCTCATCCTTTCCAGAAAAGCAAGGGACTTTTTACCACTCATCCTATTTTCAATTCTACTTGAGTACCTCTGACTTTCGGAGTCTTAATGTCTTACCAGCTGAGCTAGCTTAGCTACTAGACTTTAAAGGTATTTTTTGGTACTTCTGGTTCCTCAGCCTGAAATACAAATTAGCCTGTTTCTCATTGGCTTTTCTCTTAACAAGCTACTGTTTCAGTTTCTTCTGCTTTACTGAATCAGGTACCAGCCATCTGTCTACTTTTCATATTTTAAAATATTAACATCTCTTTAGTGATATTAAAATGATCCCCTATAGCTTTTTTTTCTTGTGGGTTTATTATCATTTTTATTCCTTTATTCTCATTTAGAGGGATTTCAGGAGGAAGACAGATTAACACATTATTCAATCTGCCCTATTTAAGAAGGACTTTCTAAACTTAAATGCAGTATAGGACATCGCAGAGGAAAAAGATTAATTTGACCACTGGAGGGGCGCCTGCGTGGCTCAGTCGTTAAGCGTCTGCCTTCGGCTCAGGTCATGATCCCGGGGTCCTGGGATCAAGCCCTGCATTGGGCTCCCTGCTCCGTGGGAAGCCTGCTTCTCCCTCTCCCACTCCCCCTGCTTGTGTTCCCTCTCTCGCTGTGTCTCTGTCAAATAAATAAATAAAATCTTAAAAACAAAGAAAACAAACAAAAAAAACACAAAGGGATCAAAGTGTTCAAGGGGATTAAGAGTACAAACCTCCAGTTATAAAATAAGTCACAGGGATATAAACTGCAGCATATGGAATATAGTCAATAATATTTTAATAATTCTGTACAATGACAGATGGTAACTACACTTATCACGGTGTGCACTGAGTACTGTATATACATGCTAAATCACTAATGTTATATACCTGAAACTAATGTAATACTGAAGGTCAATTATACTTCAATTAAAAACTTAAAACGTAAAATAAACACAAAAAAACAAGACGATCAAATGAAGGTGTATATAGTTAACAATGAGAATCCTAGCTTCCCTTTCCAGTGTTCAGAACACTACTAAAACACTGGCAGTCAAAGAGTAAAAAAAACCCAAAGAGTGAAAAACTATATACGTTGACATTTGAGGGTTCCCCCTTGAAATGCCCATACCTAATCACTCTATGAATAAGGACTTTAAATCATAAATGTGTATGCCCAGGGGCACATGGGTGGCTCAGTCAGTTAAGTGTCTGACTCTTGATCTCAGGGTTCTGAGTTCAAGCACTGTGTTGGGTTCCACACTGGACATGGAGCCTACTTGGGCAAAAAAAAGAAAAAAAATGTGTTGGCCCAAACTAAGTAGCTTTTTAGTGTCACATTCTTAAATGTGAATAAAAGTCAAGGATCAGAAGAAAAAGATAAAAGAAATAAAAGAAACCTGGAGGAATAATTGGTACGGGGTGGGGGACAAAAAATGTCAAACAACAAAAAAAGTACCCAGTATTCAACAAAAATTTATTAGGCATGCAAAAAAAAAAGAAATATGGCCCATTCACAGGAGAAAAAGAAATCCTATAAATTGTTGAGAAATCCCAGACATTGGTTTTTCTAGATGAAGACTTAAATTAACTGTTTCATTTTACTTATTTATTTTTTAAAAGATTTTATTTATTTATTTGAGAGAGAAGGAGAGAGCACAAGCAGGGGGAGCTGCAGAGGGAGAGGGAGAAGCAGGCTCCCCAATGATCAGGGAACCCTGATGTGGGGCTCGATCCCAGGACCCTGAGATCATGACCTGAGCTGAAGGGAGACACTTAACTGACTGAACCACCCAGGCGCCCCTAAATCAACTGTTTTAAATACGCTCAAATAGCTAAAGGAAACCATGGGGGCAGGGGAGTGGGGGGAGAGAAAAGAATAATAATGTCTCATCAAATAGAGAATATCAATAAAGAGATAGAAATTATGGAAAAGAAGCAGAAGCTTGTTTCTGGAGCTGGAAAGTACAGTAGTAACTGAAATAAAAAACTCACTAGAGGGGTATAAGAGATTTGAGCAGGCAGAAAAAAGAATCCACAAACTTGAAAATAAATCAGCTGAGATTATCCACTTTGTGGGACAACAGCAAGAAAAAAGAATGAAGAAATATGAGAGCCTATGAGACCTGTGGCATACCATCAAGTGTACCATCATACAAGTAGCAGAGTGCCACAAGGAGAGGAAATGAGACAGAAAAAATGTCTGAAGAAATGGTTGAAAATTTTCTAAATTTGATAAAAGACATAAATCTAACACCCAAGCAGCTCAACAAACTCCAACTACGACAAGCCTGAGATCCACATTCACACACATTTTAATCTAAGCATTGAAAGTTAATTATAAAAAGTATTGAAAGCAGCAAAAGAGAAGCAACTCATCACATAGATGGGCTCCTCAATGAGACTAACAGTTGA